CAAAGATCAGTCGCCTGTATATAGGCTTCTGCTTCAATCAAGGCCTCTTGAAGAGTCGCCACCCTTTTTCGAACCAAATCAAATTTGAAGGTAGACCCGTCTTTGAGACCTCTGAAAAAGTCAGTATAAGCTACCTCATCCGGTAACCCTTGAATCTGTATTCTCATCAGGTTAAACCGCCTGATGTAAGAACAAAGACCCTCCTTCTCGCCCTGCTGAATTGTTCCCAAATCAAGGGTCGTTTTCTTCGCAGGGATGTTCATGGCGAAGTTGGAGGCAAATAAGTAAGCAAGCGTCCTGAAGCTATTTACACAACCAGTCGGCAGGTTGCCGAACCATTGCTGTGCGATTCCTTTGAGAGTCGCTGGGAAACACTTGCACCAAGTGGGATCATCCAACCCTTGAAGGTACATCAGGTTGGTGAATGCCATCAGATGGTCTTCTGGGTTAGTAGTGCCGTCATAGGCGCCTACTAGTACATTTTTCAGTTTGGCCGGCTGAGCGGCTTCAGTAATTTCCTTGGAGAAGGCCGACGGCTGTTCACCAAGTCTAAGCAACCGTAGCTTCCAGTCCATAGGTTGGACGTTTTTTGCTGCAGGTCCACCAAATGGAGGTGGCTGCAAAAAATACTGTTGTTGCGGCACAAATGGTAAGTTTGGTACCGCCTGGGCACTATGAAAGCCGGACTGACGGGAGGTGCCGCCTGACTGACTCTCATGGTACGACTGAGTATGCCTCATCGAGGCATTTCGCAAACTGTCTTGAAAGTTTTAAGTAGAGGCCGACTCTGACAATCGGTCACTCTTCTTCTGCTCTAGCAGTAGCCGAGCATCTGTGAATGTTTGCTTCGACCCGTCTGCCTGAATATGACGAACCGGTTTCCTATTTCCTGTAGGATAACGGAATTTTGTGAAATCAAGGGCAGGTGGCTCCCGCTTCCTAGATTTAGGATGAGGAGTCGCCTCTCGCCCTTGAACTGGCTTCCTCTTCAGTGAAGTGGAGGGTTTCTTGGCCGACTGCTCCTTGACTGGAGCAGTCGACTTCTTGTTGATCAACTCTTGAATCTCTCCCTTGAAGTCCCTCATGAAGGTCATGAGTTCGTTTCTTGTGATGGGAGCAGACCCATCAGTCGGCGGTTGCCGAACAGGAGGTGCGCCTGCTGGCTCGCTTCCTGTTTGAAGATGCTCCCGTTCCCTCCTTTCGGTATGACGGGTACGTCGGGCCCTTAGAGTCCCGTCTGAAGCTGTATGAGCTTCAACTTCAAATTCACTTTCAGTATCATGGTCCGACTGAACTTGAGGGTCGTCTAGGGGACGCCTCTCTTCAGGAGTCGGTACAGACTTGGATGCCATCTCTGAATTACTCTCCCCACAGACGGCGCCAAATGTTTCGGGGTTTTCTGATGTCCTGCGGGAGAGTTACAATTCCGAGACTAGAACCGGACGCCTGTACCTACAAAATAACGGAGACTTCTGTGAGCTCCGCCTCCAACGGTCAAGTTAGTAACTGATTAAGGAGTAATTAATACGGAAATTAAAGTGATTAGGTCTCTCTAGGTGAGAGTGATTAACGTAGGTAATCTGCTTTGTTAGCGAGATCAGCCGGTTATTACTGTGTGTAATTAATGTGTTTTTCCCGTAATGTTTCTGTAATCTTCTTGTCCTCCTCCTTAATGAGGATTAAGGGAGGTATTTATAACCTTGGGAAACGTGCCCATCCTAGGTTTAGGTAAACCTAGGGCCGATTGGGCTTCCCTCGGAAATTGGGCCTGGGTGGCCGGTTTCTCCATTAGGCATGAAGTATGCCACATGTCGTGACATAACAGGTCCAAGGTGGACGAATAAGCGCGTGCCACGTGGCAAGCCCTGACAGTTCCAACTAGGGGACACTTGGCAGGACCTGATTGATCCACGTGGCGCATTCCGATTGGTGGGAGCAAAATCCCCTAATCACTAGGTAAGTGAATTTTGGATAGATTTTTAAAGATAAAAATGTTGTATAAAGTTTTATCATCGATATACTTTTAATATTTCATTTATACAAAATTAGTCATATATACTATTTTCATCATAAAATTCGTTTTAAAAAGTTGTTTAAAATAATATCCATTTATAATATATTTAATTTATTTACAAAATAATAGAGAATTAGTGAAATAAGTTTTAATCATGAAAAATAATTTTTATTTTGGTAAAAATACTTTTAGTTCAATAAAAATAATTTACATTCAATAAAATATATTTTCAGTTCAGTATGTCTAAATATCATGCTTTATCATATATAATCGTATTTAACATTCAATCCAAAAAGTTTATCCTAAACTTTTATCAACCATCTGGACATCGTCCGGGCACAAAACTAGTATATCATATCACTAATAAATAAAGTCGGTCTCGCAGCCAGGTCACGAGACAACGACACTTGGCATTCCAGTTTTTCGCCAAGTGTCACGCCACTTAGGCGACAAATAGGTATTATTGTGACACATATGATGCTATATAATCGAATTTTAGATAGATTTTTGAAGATAAAAATCTTGTATAGAGTTTTATTATTGATACACTACTAATATTTTATATATACAAATATAATCATAACTTTTAATAAAAATCTAATAACTGGTTCTATTTCCATCATAAAATTCATTTTAAAAAAGTTCATTAAAATAAGATCCATTTATAGTATATTTAAAATAATAGAGAATTAGTAAAAATAAGTTTTAATCGGTAAAAATAATTTTAGTTTAGTAAAAATAATAAGTATGATATCGCATGTCTAAATATCCTGCATTATCAAAAGTGATTATATGATTGTATTTAAAATTCAAGCCAAAAGGTTTATCCTAAAATTCAATAAATAACCTGGACATCGTCTGGGGCACAAAACTAGTATATATTTAAAGGGGAGTTTTTTCTCGAGTTTTTAGAGCACCCACGTAGGATTTTAATTTTTAGAAAATTATTAGAGCACCACTTAGGATTAATATTTTCAAAACTCTACAATAGGATTTTTCCACGTAAGATTAGTTTTTTTTAAAGTGCTATGTAGAATTATAATAAAAAATCGCCACGTAAGATTAACAATTTAAAACGCTACAATAGGATTATGCCCCGTAAGGTTAATTTTATAAGCGTCACATAGGAAAATGTTATATTTTAGCCAATAAAAAAAGAATTGTAATTTATTTTAGATCAAAAATTTTATATTAAATATAAAAAATAAAATTAGCGCGTTTTTTTGGGTGGTTGGCCATATCGTGTGGACGGCTAAGACACACCCAAACATTGACCGAGTAACCCCTGACTGTCCGAGCAGTCCCTAATCGATTGAGTAACCCTTGACCAACCAAGTAACTCCTGACCAAGTAATCCCGACCACACGGTGTGACCAGCCACATATGAAAATTTGTGAAATATAATATTATCTTTTTATATTACGAATTTTATTTAAATATCATAAACAAAGTTAATAATTCATTTTATAATAAAAAATTCAAGTAGTAAGCAAGTGAATATCACAAAATTTATTAGATAAATATATATTAGTAAAATATTTTATTTGAAAAAATACAAACAAACCGTGCATTGCACGGGCTTCATCTAGTTTATTTTAATTTATATAATTTAGTCTAATTTAAATTTTTTTAGAACTTATTTAATTTATTTGTATTTATTTATCTAAACTAATCATTTATCTGAAATAAGATGAATTACCCATAAAAAATAAAAATAAAAAAAAAAACTTGTAAAAAATAATCCCTACTTTGCTGTATTTTCTCCTAATAATCTCAATTTTGGATTATTCTAAAATAATCCGAACTTTGGGGGCTGTTTACTTTCTTCAGTCTCAATTACCGTTGAATGGGTTAATTTTTTTTTAAAGTGACACATGTCACAAGTTAACTGGTTAAAATAATTTTAAAAAAAAACACCAGACAAACCCAAATTATGGCCATCCAACGTCAGCGGCTGTTGCTATTCTCCTTCTCCCGGCGCCGCTAATTCCCCTCCCCTGCGCCGATATTCCCCCTTCCCCCATGCCGGTGTTGCGATCCTTCATTGAGCTTCATTCTTCTACCCACCTTCAAACCTTAAGTCCTCAACAATAATCTCCACCATGAAAAACAAAGTCACAAGCCAACCACACCAAAATTGGGACTTGGGAGGAGAGAGAAATCTGGGTTGAGAAAGGAGAAAGAATTAAGGGAGGAGATGAGAAATTATGGTAAGAGCATAAATATCAAGGAGGATGGCTTTGTCCTCTCACACATTCTCTCTCCTTACCCTATTTTGACACCTCATACTCTCTTTCATCCACCTCATTTCCCACTATCTCTTTCCTCTCTTCCATCCTCTTCCATTTATTTTTCGCACATCAAAGGGTATCCTCTTGATATATTTTATACTATAAATATGGCCCCACCTTCAAATTTTATCTTTGTGAAAGATTATTTTTTATTGATTTCTTTAATGATAAGGTCTAAATAATAATTAGGATTCGATAATTAGCATACATAACAAAAATTACCATAGTTTACCAATATTTTGATACAATAACACATGAAATTAGGAATAAAAACACTAATTGATACACTAAAGTACAACAAATAAAAGAAATTAAAGACAAATAACTAATTATCCTCTTTTGTCCTTACCGATTACTAGTATGCCCAAATCTTGCTCACAAATGTTCTACCAAATCTTGTTTAAGTGACATATGAGTTTGTTTATCGTGGAGATTTTCTGGTGTTGCCATTAATGTGGTTAGATTAGAATTTTGGTAGCGCGGGGTTACGATGAAAGTCGTTGCTCTTCGGTTTGAAGTTCCCGCTAAATACTCGGGTTGTTCAGTAGCAAACTCATTAGGATCCCAATAGTTAAGATAACTGTCGCGCTCATCTTCCACGACATATTGTGCATGATAATACACGCCATAACAATTTTCCATAACATTTCGACACTCCATGCCAAAGCAGGACGCCTTATTATGGCAAATCGAGCTTACAACACTCCAAATGCACGTTCTACATCTTTTCTAATACTCTCTTGTTTGGTAGTAAACAATCGTTGTTTAAGGGTTTGAGGTGCAGTTATTGCATCTATATATGTAGCCCATTTTGGGTAGATCCCATCTGTGAGATAATACCCTTGATTGTAAGTATTTCCATTCACGGTGAACTGAAGTTGTGGAGCACGACCATTTAAAATGTCGTCAAAGACGGGTGAACGTTGAAGGACATTTATATCGTTGCACGATCCAGGTGTTCCAAAAAAGGCATGCCATATCCACAAATCCCAAGATGCAACAACTTCTAAGATAACGGTTGCCGTTTTTGATCGCCCTTGATACATCCCTTTCCACCCCGCTAGACAATTTTTCCACTCCCAATGCATGCAGTCGATACTTCCCAACATACCAGGAAAACCTCTTTCATCTCCTTCTCTTAGAAGGCGATTCATATCTTCAGGGGTTGGTTTCCTTAAGTACTCTGCTGAGAATTCACAAATCACTCCGTCAATTCAGTGCGTGATACAATGCCTAACCGTAGTTGCCCCAAGCTTGAGGTACTCGTCAACTTGATCAGCTGCGCAGCGATATGCTAACATCCTTATAGCCGCTGTGCACTTTTGTATTGCAGAGAAGCACCCAAACGCATACTAGCATCTGGATGTTGCTGGAAAAATCTATCCGTTTCACTTAGTTGATTCACTATCTTCATAAATAGAGGTTTCTGCATGCGAAACCTGCGTCGAAACTTATCATCACCATACTATGGTTGGTCGCTGAAATAGTCAGCAACCAACTGATCATGTGCTGCTTCACGATTACATGGTGTAACTTCCCTTCGTTTTCTCTGACGTGGAATATCTTCTTGTTGTTGTTGCATGGTGGTGTTAACCACATATCTCAATGCATCTTCTATGATTTGTTGTTGCCGATTTCCCTCAATAAAATCGAGCAACATGTAGTCATAGATTTCATCACTAGAAGTGGAAGAATTTGAATTACTACTCATTTTAAAATTACTAATATGTAGTAGTTGTAGCTGTGATAGTGAAAGTGTTGTAAGTGAAATAGGTTAATTTATAGACAATTGAGATAAAAGTTACAAAAAATTATTTGCAATCTGGTAAGATAAGATTTTTTACCAGAAGATAAGATTTTCTTACAGAAGATAAGATTTTTTAACAACGGGTAAGATTTTTTGTAGATAAGATAAGATTTTTGGTAGATAAGGTAAGTTTTTTTATCAGAAGGTAAGATTTTTTTTATTTGAAGATAAGATTTTTGGTAAATAAGGTAAGATTTTTTATTAGAGGGATAAGATTTTTGGTAGATAAGGTAAGATTTTGTTAGAGTATTTAACATAAAAGATTTTTCATGTGACTAAAAAGGTTTAAGGATTCAAAAATTACATTTTTTTTTTGGTAGAAAACATAATATTATTACTCCAACACATAAGATTACAACATCTAATATCAACTAAAAATACAAACAATTAAAATTACTACTACATACGATTATATCTTAAGTACTACAACAACTCTTAAACATAACGTTATTAGCTGAAAGACAAACTCTTGATACAGAAACTAAAAGATAAAATAGTTAATACATAAAAATAACTAATACTTAACTTATATCTTTAAAAAAAAACCTGTTACTAAACTCCTCTCTAAGCTTCTTGTACATGTCGGCTTCAAATTCATCGAGGACGGGTTTTGCCATCAATGAACGTAACATGCCGGATTTCATCTCCTCCTCCTTTTGCTTTTTCCTATCTTCGCTCCTTTTTCTTATCAAGTCGATCATTCATTCTCCTTGATCAAGCCTCTTATCACTACATTCGTCAAGAGTTGTATTGAAAGCTTCAAGGTTTATCGATGTAGAAGAATTACTACCTTCTGCAGCTAAACTCTTTGATTTTTTTTTTATACCCGAAGGCCGCTTTCTTCCAGCACCCACACTTGGTGATTCTAGTTCGGATTGTTTCCCACTTCCCTCACTCTCCAAAGGAAGTTTGTTGGACCATATGTGGGTCCCATTTAGGAAAATTTTGCATTGTTTCAAAACAATGCATCAAAGTAAAGTGTTTTCCATGATTGAGTTTTGCATGATACTCATGGGCATGTTGGACAGTGTCCCTGCCTGAGTTTCAACTTTTCGGGTGTTGTAGGATATAACCATACGCCATAACCCATTTTGAAACCCATTTGTTGATAAAATTCCAACGTTGTTGCATGGACTTAATGGTCCGTTCTTTTATCTCTTCAAGGTTCTCTGCCCATGCCTCTTCGTATAACTTCCCAATTGCAGCCCATAAACTGGCTTTAGTTCGTTTTGTATTTATGGTAACGTTCCCACCGGCATTGATGTAGCCTGAAACAAGCACCTTATCTTCAGCTATACTCCATGCACTAGCTTTTTTTTTTTTTATGATTGGGGTCTTCTCCAGTAATGTCAACAACATCATCATCGAGATCTTCTAGATGTTGAGCTTCCCGCACATCTTCTGGAGAAGCAGCGCTACTAACATTTACTCCTGGAGATTGATCCATGGATTGGGTAAAATGTTGTGACATAGGAAATAATGGGACATTTTTTTGAAGATGAGCTCCCATGAAATTGGTGAGGAATTTGAGATGTATAATTCGGGTTTATAGGTCTTTGGTGGCTACCAAACCATTGCAAAGCAGCTTGAAATTGTGGATTATTGAATATAATTGGATCAAAAGGGGGAGTGTTTGAATTGTATTGAGGATTTGGATTATTTAGAAAATTCATATTTCTTCCATAATTATGATTATTTTCATCCATTACAAAAGAAAATTATAAAAAGAGAGGAAAGAGAGAAAGGAGTGAAAAAAGATGAAAAATTGAAGTGCATAAAAAATGACCAAAATTAGGTTCATTTTATAGAGAAAAAAAAACAATACAACCGTTGGTAAAATCAGTTTTTTAAAATATGTTACCGTTTGTGATTAATTACCGTTATAATTTTTTTGAGCTAGTAAAATTATGTAACAAAAAACAAATAAAAGGTTGACACTTGTCAACCAATAGCAGGTCAATTTAAAAATCTAGTCGTTACAATTTGCTTTGCTATTTTGATGTTTCTGACCGTGTGTAAGGAGCTTTTCATTTTTTTTTATTTAGCAAAACGTTGCCGTTTGTTGTACAAAATTGTTTCAAACGATGGGTTTTGGCTGTTTGGCTTCATCCTCTTGGCACAAAGGACGAGGTGCTCAATTATTCACCAAATGAGGATTGTTGAGAATCCTCTTCCCCTTGAAGATCCTCTACATTACCCAACATCAAAGAGGACTACTCCAAATCAGCAAAAACCCCATACAAGAGGACATATATCCTCTTTGATATTTATGCTCTAAAGGGTGAGAGAGGAGAGAGAATAATTGTGGCGGTGGTGGGAGCTAAGGGGCGGTGGTCGTGAGGGTAGAAAGAGAACGGTGGCGTCGTTGTTTTCTCCCCACCCCTAAAACCTCCGTTTTCCTTGGTGGTTTTTGGGGTTTTGGCTGCGATTTTGGGGTTTTGGCTACGATTTTGAGGTTTTTGGCTACGATTTTGGTGCTTGCGTGGGGAATGGGAGGGGATTTCGGGGAGGGGGGAAAACAACGACGCCTGAGGTGGGTGAGAAGCGGCGTTTCAGCAAGGGAAGGCAGCGGGCTGGGCAGTGGTGGTGGAGGTTAGGGTGGACCGGTGGGGGAAGGGGAAGCTGGCTTGATTTTCTGATTTTTTGTTTTTTTGTTTTTTTGTTTTTTTTGTTTTTTTATTTTCATTTTTTAAATTTGTTTGAACCAATCAGGACTTGACATGTGTCAAGTAACCTGATATAATAGGTCATTGACTTTTGTTGAATGGTTTGGGATTGAAGAAAGTAGACAACCCTCAAAGTTCGGATTATTCCAAAATAATCCAAAGTTGGGATTATTAAAAGATTATATAGCAAAGTTGGGATTATAAATTTCAATTTTTCCTAAAAAATATTAATTAATTGAAAACAAACTGACCTTTAATGGTTACAAGAAAAATAAATGGGTTCACAAATCATATCATATAACTAATATATAACGCTAAATTTTTTAGCCATAGTACGAGACAACGACACTTGGTGTTAACTTTTCGTCAAGTGTCACACTACATAGGCAAGTATATTAACTTGAATATATTTTTGTAGAATAAAAAAGTTGGATTTTTTTATTAGGATAAGAAAAATTGAATAAATTTAGATATATTTTGTAGGATAAAAAAAAAATTAATTTAGAGTTTTATTTTCAATAAAATTTTGATAGGTTTTTAGGATAAAATTGTTGGTTTAGAGTTTAATTTTTGATTAAATAATAATATTTCATATGTACTAATTAAATTATAACTTTATTTAAAAAAAAATATTAAATTACACTTAAAAGACATTAAAATCACAACTTATCTTAGATCATCCAATAACATGAAAATAGGTGTAATTCCAAATTGATTTTTTCATGTTACTTTTCCAAAACCAGCCTGGCTTTATAAGCAGAAAAGTTATTTTTTTTTTTTGTCAGTATGATTGTCAAGTAATTATTAATTTAAGAGTAGAAAATTCGAATAACATAAATATTAATCTCACATATAATATATATTTCTATAATATATATTGCATTATTACAAAAATCAATGGTATCCTATGTCAAAATATCCTAAATCAAAAGGGATATGTACCTCTTACATAACACTAATTATATGAATGATATATTTTAAAATTTGATATTTATAAATAGCTTATCTTAAAATTCAATAAATAACCTGGACATTGTCTGGGGCACAAAACTAGTTTTAAATAAATCTGATGTACAATAATAATCATATATCAAGTTAAAGTTACCCTAAAATATCAATATTTACTTCCATATAAAACAAAGTTATCCACTTTAAAATGAGAAAGTTACCTACGGATTATCTATTTCAGAATAAAAATATCCTAACAAATTATAATTAGGATAAATAAGTTTAAAAGTTACCATTAATTGAGTGTGTTGATGTGATAGTTTAGGCACCAAAAATGTATTTAAGTGTTACGTTTGATATTATTTGGGTCAAAGTCAAATTATTGACTCATATATTATTTGATTGTTAATTGAGATTAATTCATTTGTGTAAACAAATTGATTTAACCAATTGTAATTTTTTTTTAATCAAGCAAGTTTATTTTAATAGTTAAATTCTAGAAAAATAGGTTAAACTATTATAAAGTGATCACGAATACCAAACACAGTAAAAAAAAAAAAAAAAATCTTTCCTCCTTTTTCTCTCCCCTCTCTCCCTCCTTAAAAACCCTATATTTTTTAATTATTATTTTTTGCTTTTTAGAGGCTACCACCGACTTTTTGGTCGATGGTAATAAGATCTCTTGTTTTCCTAGTAGTTTTATTTAGAGTTTTTTTTTTTACCCAATTTATTG